AGAAATTAAATTTTTTCCCTCCTCTAAACTAGAACCTGCAAAGCGAATTCGAAATTTCCACAAGAGCTCCAAGAATCTAAAAAATTCACCCGACAATTGGAGTGCGAGAAAAAATGGGTCAGTTGGTGAAAAAATCGTTGAATATCACCGAACTAGATCACTCGGCGATTATTCCATCAACTCGGCCCTGAAAGCCGATTAAATTCCCCTCAAATTATCAGATACATATCGAATACTTTGATTCAGCACTGGTCGATGTTGATGCTAATGTCTTGAGCCTCATGGTCACTTCAGGCACTTCTTGGAGGGTCCCGAGGACTGGCAGGTACCACTTCAGGCATTTAACAATTTTGAAAAACCCTTGGCTGTCATTAAAGCCTATAATATAAAAGGAAGCAGGCAACTTCAAACGAAGAATGCGAATGAGGTCGAAGAGGGAAGAATGAAGCTCTGGAATTTTTGGGGATGGAGTGTCCAGCTGACCGAAGGGCCCAAGACGTTCTTCGAATTTAAAGGGCCTTCAGGTATACATTGCACCCAAGATTGTCTCCCCCTTTCACGAAGACGACCTCATACGGCACATGGCGTCAAAATGCCAATGACTTTTCACCAACAATCGGTGGAGAAAAAAAAACATTATTTATTTGGCTCGTGCCAAAACATCTTTTGTTGGTGACAGCTGCTTGAGGCATGTTAATGCAGGAAAAGTCTTGAAATAGAGCTTGCGATCGTCTTGATCGAACATCACCGCCTCCTGCGGTAGTTTCCTAGGGACAGCTGGCCATTGTGGCACCTGCCTGGGGGTTTTTTTTCTGTTTTTTCTTTTCTTTTTAGTTGTTATATATGCGTGTAGTACGTCGTTAAAGGCTTCACGGTTATACGGGTGTTCCGACGATGGGTGGTGGTGAGGAAATTATGGATGGTTTATGGGAAGATCGTCTCCTGGGGGAACCACGGGATGTACTGAGAATTTTACGCGGGCTCGAGTTGTTAAACGCGGAATGGAACAGGGAGAACAAATCGCTTCGTTGATAAATACTAATTTATGTTTTTTTATTTTTATTTTTGAAACTTTAGAATAGCTTCAGTTTGGGAGAACATGTTGATAGACTTTTCTTTTGTGAATTTTTCAATTGTTCACGGGTTAGAATATCAATGGAATATCAATCCTTAATCAATGGTTAATTAATGGTTAATTAATGCTAATTCATATCGTTTTATTTTGAAAATATGAAACAGTTTCAGGTTTCGATGAAAATATTGAAAGATTTATTTCGGTGGACAGTTGGAAAATTGTTCATCCAATAGTTCTCCATTTTTATTGAAATTATTGGAATGTTCACGAGCTAGATGTAATAATGGAAATAATATGAGCGGACTCGATTTAGTAATTCATTCATTGCTGTAATCAATCACGTGTAGACGTTGTTCTATTATCTAAGCGTGTCCGTTTGAACTCGATCTCAAGATTTCTTCTCACAGGTATTTGCGAGAAAAATCAATCCACGTTACACGTGCCGATTCAAATCCAAGGATAGAAACGACCGTTGGGCTCTTTAAAAAGCCGACCGTGTCCGAATTTACTGGGAGAGGCAATTTTACATAACGAGTGGCTCATACACTTCTTTGAGTCCGTGGATAGTCTTCTGTAATAAAGCTGACAGGAATGTACATAAAATTAGGCAGCTGGTAGATGAAAGTGAGAAGTTAATTCATCAAATTTCTGTACCCTAGAAAATTTTTACTCATATGCACGCTAAATCCGTGATAAATCCGAGTGCCAACTCGGTGATGATTTGTGAGTGTTAATGAATTCATTAAAGACACCCCGATTTAATTTAATGGCGCGGGAATAAAATTCGATAATAATATATTTTATCGGAAAGCAATTAACTTTAATTATTGAATGATTTGGGGTTGACAGGAAATTCTCAAGTGCTTTAGGTAATTTATGTCGATTTTCATCAGCAGGTGGTTTAATTTCGAAACCCTAAATATTATCAATTATTTGTTATAAAAATTTTATTGCCAAATGGTGAAATGAGACAAGTGAAATTACCCGTTTGTGGAGTATTTTTGGAAATATCTCTGGGAGCAGTGGACGCCGTGAAATTTTTATCGGAATATTTTTTGTAGAGCCAAGTATGAGCTACAAAAAAGTATACAACAAAAATTTCGGTATCTCCCCTAGTTCCAGAGATATTTCCACAACCCTCACTTAAAAATCACAGAGCTAAAATTCTTCAAAAATATTTTAAAATCCTGAACTGCGTGATGTGAACTAAATCCAATATTTCTCATAATTTGTTCATAACAAATCCTTATCTCTCCAGAAACTCGTGGAAAAATTCGAAATCTACAAACCCATTCATTCAATTATTATAAGCCTGAAACCACTCACAATTTTTACTAATTCTCAATCAAAAGCCGACAAATAAATTTCAAATGACTTACAAATCAATGAGAGCCTTCCGCAGCGTAAATAAACAATAAAAAATACGTCATACGCAATTAAATGCCTCGCACTTGGATACCTGATTCCAACAAAGAGCTCAATTTATCCCCTATTTTTTTTTTTTCCATCGATACATACAGGGGGAAGATTTGGGTGGGAGATGATAAGGTTGGCCCCCCTCTGTGCACTATCTTTGTCCTTTTTTTTTTAATAGAAAAATCCCTCGAGGCCATCTGTGTGTGAAAGGCCTTCTGGCATATGCTTACGGCATGTGCACCCAACTTGGTGTGTGTCCCATAGTCATTGTTATTAGCCTCCCCCAAAAAGTGGGACGGGGAACTAATGTGAAAGAGAGAGATATATATTATAAAAATGAGAGGGGGGGTTGGGGGGAGGGAGATTGCAGACACAGCTGTCTGTGCAGGGGGGCGAGACGAGCATTATTGAACGCTTGCTGTACACCATTTGAAAATGTACGCATATCGATTCGTCACTCGGTTCATCTCCCATAGCAACTCCAAATCTCTTCAATTTCATTGGTACACTCTTTCCCCTACTTGCTGAGAGCCTTTTGGGGATAAATAAATGGACATTTATCAATTTTATTGATAATCCATTTTTTTGGAAATATGGGAGTAACAGGGAATTTTCGAAGACGAAATTATCACAATATTTTTGATGATTGATTGATTTATTATTTTTTCGTTGGACTCCATTAAATTCAATTCAATCAGTAATATTATATATTATGCGTTATTATTATTGTTGTTTATTATTATTGTTATTGCTGTTGTTTTTGGATTGAATTATGATATTTAGATCAATTTCGCGAAGTTTGAGGCGCGTGCGATAATTTTTCTGTTTTTTCGAATGTTTTGAGAATTTTTTCAAAATTTTGAATAAAAAATCCAGGGAAATTATTTTATGATTTTGATATTTAAAAATTGACGTTATTGAAGATTGGAATGCGATTGTGACTGGAATTTCAATGAATTTCTCGCTTTTTCTGTCACCTATGTCTCTCGATGAAAAAAAAGTATTTTTTCATTATGAAAAATACTTCCAACGGTCATTCCTGACGTCATCGCAGAATGCAATAACACAGATTCGTGGAAGTGGTATCACGGAGACGGGGGTTTGATATCCAATGCAAATGAGACAAAAAAGTAATTAAGAATTGTGAGAATCTCGCAAAACCCTAAACCGCGACCTTTTGCAAACGATTTCAACGATTAAAGATGTTCAACCCCTTCCAGCTCAAATTTCCGTCTTTCTGATTGTTCTGGTAAATCGTTGCCGCAACTCATCTTAGAAAATATAAAAGATTTGCATTCTGTCGTTATTTTATAGACCAACTTTCATGTTCGTGCGATAATTTTCCAAATTTTTTTCTACAGTTCTATTTATTCTAGTCTAGTTTATAAAAATCCCAGGAAAGGCACCACCTGAAAACTCCATGAGTCATTAAATGATGGAAATACTTTCCCAGAAAAATGAAATTAAAAAAAAGAACATGAATTTTGGCGGACGGGTGTAGGCCATCCTCATCTCCATCCTCTTTCTAAAAATCTCATCTCATTGACAGCTGAAGAAAAAAAATATGAGAAACTCGTTTTTTTTTCGAGGGTCAAAGCTGGAGTGGCCGGAGGAAGCGATTGACAAGTCTTTCCCAGGGGTTGGATAATGAACCGCTAAAAAATAAATATGGGAAGTTCACGAGGTGCAGTCTTTTTCCGTTTTCGGACAGGAAATTAATTAAACCGTGTAAAGGAGACACTTGCGGCGAGTTTTGTACCCTCGAGGGACAGGATGTGGTCGTCTGCTCATCCGGAGGTGCATTAGAGGGCGCGAAGAAGCCGTGAAGAATAAGAAAGTGGTCGCTAAGAAGCAAATGAAACTAAAAGAGAAGAAAGCAAAATCCGATTGACAAAGGAATCGGAGGAAGGATGTTCAACGAAGCGTTTTTCAAATTGGGGATCTCTTGACTCTTCTTGTATGCGCACTTCCTTTTGAGGATTAGGATTGTCTATTGACCCAGGAAGTGACGAATGATCATAAGAATGAGAATGCTTTTATTTAAATGTGCACGGAATTGTTGTTTGAGTGAAAATGGATAAATCCAGTCTCGCATGTGTCTATCCCCTCTAAAAAATTAGACAAATTAAATTATTTCATAAATCAATGGCAATTTTATATTTGCTGATGATATCTGCTAGATGTTTAGTAGAAAAACGCGAAGATCTCAGGATTTTTTCGAAAAAGGGTGAATTAATGAATATTGCCCAAGACTCGAAGATCAGACGTAAAGTAGTAATTATTCAAAGAAATTTGAATGAACCGATGAGAGCTGGTCTCATTCGGTGAAATTGATCAATAAAAGTTTCACTGAATTTGAAACGACAGAATCAGATATAGCTGATCCTATCGGAATTGGGATTTTGGCCGAAACACGGAATATTCAACCGCTACAGGCCCCTCCGTGATAATTTACATAGACACTTGATCAATCCATTAAAATTCATAAATTCTGTATTCTGCATTACAGGTCGAGGTCTGGTTACGACTCGAGCAGTGGGGACGAGTCAGAGAGTGACTACAATATTCAATCTTATCAGGCAAATGCTCACAATGCAAATGCCCCTGCAACAGTGAGCACTGGTGCAACAGCACCACAGGGCAAGCACATAAACAAGGGTCGATGGACTAAAGAAGAGGTAAAACTGCCTTTAAACATATCAATGAGAGCTAAGAGAATGGATAGAATGGAAATTGAGAATGGAATTATTGAGATTAGATAAAAAAAAGAAATCCCCAGTTTGGCCGGTCCTTGCTGGGAATTTAATAATAGATGTGAAATGAAGGGTTGGTACCTTTCGACAAAAATAATAAAGAATTTCGCCCCTGCGTAATCGAGGGACGAGGACAGATGGGGATGACCCTAAATGTTACCTGTTCTCTCTCCCTCTCTCACTCGCCAATTGATGTCAGATCTCGAGGTATACGGTTTCCCATGGGAAAGTTCATGTGGCCTTGTCCCACGTGTAGTTTACTTTGAGGTTTTTGCTCCCCTGATTCTCAATTTGAGAAAAAAAAATTGGGATTTTCTCGAATGTTTTGGAATTTTATTGTCTGGGAGGGGGAAAATTCGGGGAAATTTATCCGGCTTTTCACGTATTTTATTGCACTGTGGGAAATTCGGGATCGTCGGTTTCGCTCATGTGCGTGAGATTTTTCGGGGGATGGGAGGAATTCGATCAATTATCACAATGCGAAGGGCGAGTGGAAACATTCAGTTAGGGATGTACCTCTAGAGATAATTCACACTTTTTTGAGTTTTTTGATAAATTGTTGATCGGATTGACCCAAAAAAAATGTAACGTATTTACATTTTATCATTATTACATCTTCAAAAATTATGATATTTCGTTACGAGTCATTAAATAATAATAAAATGCCAAACTGTTATGTTTTTTTGCATCAATCGGCGTCTTAAAATAAACAAAAATTTATCATATAAATTGGAGAAAGATAAAAAATTTATAATATAAAATGGAGAAAGAAAATCGATGTCGATATATCTCGAAATTGACCCGCCACCACGACGTCGTAGCAAAATTTTGAAAATTCCAAAAATCTCAAACATTTCGAATTTCGTGGAATAATTTATTCAAATAGAAAAATGCAAAAGGCCTTTTGAAAATTTATTTCATTGTCCAGTTTCCACTTTATATATCAAAAAACCTCAAACATGAGAGTTTGAGTTGCAAAATGGAGAAATCCATGAATGTATAGTGTAATTCATGTAATTGATAATGGCTTGTGTAATTTGTGTAATTGTGGTGTTTAGGACAATTTACTGAAGCAGTTAGTGAGTAATGCGGAGAAATTGGGAACTGGATTGCGATGGGATGCTGTAGCTGCACATTTTCCAGACCGAAGTGACGTACAGTGTCAGCAGCGATGGGCCAAAGTTGTTAATCCAGATCTTGTAAAGGGCCCGTGGACCAAAGAGGTAAAATTTTTGAAGCAATTTAAAAAAAACCAAATAAAAAACATGTCAATAAACCTCGGCATCCGGGTAGGGACTTTAACCCTTGATGTTTCGCGTCCTCTGCTGGGTCCTTTGGGCCTTTTTTCGGCTCGAGGGAGGGAGATGGCTTGATAATGAGACGGAGGTTTGCCTCAGCGAAAACAGGTTTTGTTTGAAACTTTTCCGACTGTGGACTCCTCGATAAGTGGTCCTCGGGAATGGGAACTCGCCCCGAGGGGTCTTCGCGATTCAAGCACGCAAACTTTTCGGAGACTCATACCTTTCCGGGTTGCGTAATTTGTTTTTTTTTTTCTTCTCGAGAATCATTAGAAGTAATGAATAGAAAAATCTTGTGAACTGAAGAACGGAAGTGAGATTTCATTTATCAAATTCTTAGGGAGAGTTAAATGCCTTTGTGAAGAGAGTAAACAATCTTTCATAAATAAAAGTGGAAAATTCATTAATCCATACCTTTTGAAACTTAAAAACAACTTGAAGTCAATTTTATTTAGATAGCGAATTTGAATTGAACTCAATACTGACATTTTTAGTATTCAATAATTATTGGCAATTGCTAAAAAAATTCAAATACGAATTAAGTTCATAGAAATGAACAAAAACTGAAAAAAATCACGGCCAATGAGAGGATCCAGTGGATTTCCTCAATAAACCTGAACTAAGTAAACAGTAAATATCCCAAGTTGTAAAATCAACTCCACTACTGAATAATAAATTATACTAAAATTGAAGATGGAAAACAATATTATTAATAATTAACAATTGATTCTCAAAAACAACAGAAGACTGAATAATTTTTACTTGACTCCCAAGGGAATATTTGTGAATCGTATAAAAATTCTTATACGACTTTATTTAATGGTTCTCTTTGTTTGCAATTCGCGTGTAATGGTTTCTCTGCCATAATATCGAACGACCCACAAAAGCGAGTTATACCTGGTACCCTGGGAGGACACGCACACGTTTATATGGATTGGCGATAGTCTCGAGGTGGTTTTTCGTATACCGAAGGTGATGCTGTACCTCTCACGACGCATATCCCAGTGCCAATGCACTCAGCAACAAGAGCCAAGGGCATAAATATCTTGCATCTCACTCCTCCATACAAGAGCATGCATTCCCATGCATCTTTTATCCTCGTACGTGCCATGAAAGACCGAATACGTTTTCGTTACCCAGGTCTCTGTGGTCTGCGTGGGGCCATTCCCGCTTCTCAAGATGCCTTTTTACCTCATTCCTTGCCCTCCACCTTTACCTTCCACTCCATCGGCTTTATCCTCTACGTTCTCTCCCTTAAGGGGAGACGGCCAACATTCAGCGCTGAAATTCTGCGAATTTTAAACTCACACAGCAGCGTCAAAGCACGTGTGCCTGTCTCTCTACCCTACACAGCTATATCTGGAGATTACTTTTTTTTTTTTTCATTCTCACCAACAAGGCGTGCACCTTGATCACCTTTTTAACATTCGTTTGATGCATTTTTCCAACCAGGAAGTACGCGCGACCCAATAATAAAGAGAAAAAAAATTTATACAAACCGTTGGGGATCATCAACTCTGGCTTTTTTTTTTTCATTTTTCTGCTCTAAACTTCGTTTATTGCATGTGATTAATCTTGTGCGGCCTTATTCAACGATTCTGGATTTTTTTTTCTCTGCGGGAAAAAGCAAGTAAAGAATTTGAAGTGGAAGATCTTTTTTTTATTAATAAGTGAAGACATTTTTATTCTGCAATTCACAAATAATTTCAATTAAATTGAAAAAAAATTATTATCTTCATTGTTATTATTATTATTATTATTATTATTATTATTATTATTATTATTATTATCAGTATTGATAGTAATTAATAGTAATGACAGGTAGAATTATTTGGCTCCTGGTGGGAAGTTGAATTTTGTAAAAAAAAACGGTGCACATTGTTAAAGATGATTTTTTCATCTCCAGGAGGACGAGAAAGTGGTGGAGCTCGTCGATCGCTACGGTCCCAAGAAATGGACCCTCATAGCTCGACACTTGAAGGGCCGAATTGGTAAACAGTGTCGAGAGAGATGGCACAATCACCTGAATCCAGGAATAAAGAAGACAGCGTGGACTGACGCCGAGGACAAAATAATTGTTGAAGCACACAGACGCGTTGGTAATCAGTGGGCAAAAATAGCAAAACTTCTTCCAGGAAGGACAGACAATGCTATTAAAAATCACTGGAACAGCACTATGCGAAGGAAGTACGAGGCAGAAGAGGGAAGGACAACGGGAAGCAGAGGTACGTAGAATTAATCAGATAGATGAAGATGAGACAAATTAAGTGGATGAAAAATTGATTGGGGTCTTTATGGGGGACTGCCATTGTTATTTATTTATCATTTAAATTATCAGGTCGTGGCAGGAGAAAAACAACGGAGACGATTAAGAAGGAGCCAGTGGCGGACGAATCCTCGTGCCAGGAACAATCGGTGAAGGTTGCGATCAAGGCCGAGGACAGTCGAGCGACTGTGACCTCAGGGAGTTTAGAGATTGATTCACTAGACTGGACTGGCGCCTGGGGACAAACCTCCCAGCATTCTATGATGCAGCAACAATCTCAAGCGAATTATCTTCAAAGTATTATGCAGATGGATGAGAAACCCGATGAACCTGTCAATGAGAGGAAACCTGATATTTCGCCTTTCTCTAAGTAGGTTTTTTCGTATTTTTGTTACACTTCTCTATCTATTCGAGTCTCAAGGAAATTGACATTTCTTGGGCACTCGTAAATCCCAACTCAACTTTTCTATTCTGGGGAGTCCACTAGGAATTTTAGATGGTACCGATTATTGAATCGGGGATATTCTTACGTTTTTCGATGTTGACATGATAAACGTGATCATTTTTTTATTTTATTCTTATTCATCACCAGATACTTCAACCTGAATATGGGAGCAGAAGCTTCTTCCAATACCTCAGACATTCGTCTCCTACCGATGCCAGACCTCGAGGATGATGACGATGGCAGACTGAGTCCTCCCTCGATCCTGCGCAAACGTCGAGGCTTCCAGAATATTCTTCCCCGCACTGAGACTCCAGACAGTGGTCACCAAGACTTCCTCATGGGTACATCATCCCAGGAGGCGACAACAGCCCCCTCAACACCTATAAAACAACTTCCCTTCAGTCCCTCTCAGTTCCTCAATAGTTTAGCCAGTCCAGAATCATCCTGGATACGTGCTAGCACTCCCAAAGGCTCCCCAGGTACCCTCACTACTCCTCAACCCTCTGGGCTTCGTCGTGGGCATAACGACGGCAACACCCCCAGGACTCCAACTCCCTTCAAGGATGCACTTGCTGAAATTGAACGACGCAGTGGTGCCACAACGCAGTTACCAGCAACTCCCAGTCGTCTCGATGCACTCACCGAAATCATAAAGCAGGAAACTGATCGCGAGAGTTTAGCCGGCAGTAGTATACTCCAGGATTCTGGTTATGGCACTGGTCGACGACGTGGAAAGGAAAACAGTGCACCTGGGGGAAAGAGAGCCCGTAAGGCACTCTGTCAAGCCTGGGCTACCTCCAACGACAGCTCGGACATGAGTTTTGCTGTCGAGACTCCGGTAATTTTATATAAAAAACAATTTCTCTGGATTAAAAAAAAAATGAGAAAAGTAAAAGGGTTAAATTAAATGACTGAACGATTCTTTCAAATTTTTCCTTCAGCAGAAAAATATTTCAGCAATTAAATTAAATGTTTTGGCTATGAATAATTGGATAAATTGTGTTTGTAACGCATGACTTCTCTCATTTTTTGATAATTCAACTGATTGAGGAAAATTTGATGAAATAAATTAATTTATAATAATTTTTCATTGCAGAGTAAAAGTATAGATACATCAGTGTTATTTTCTCCAGCATCAATGGCCCTGGAGGACAGTTTTTTAGCGGCTGGACCGAGTCCACTAAAGGTAGACCATTCCCAAAATCAAAATACCCCACAAACCCATCAACCTGCCCTATCCTGGTTCTACTCTCGCTCCAATCGCCTGTAGACACGCTAGCCGGCCTTTTTTATTTATCTTTCTAATTCTATCATACCTCTCTAATATATTATTTGTTTGATTATTTTCTTCCAAAAGAAAGCAAAATTATCTCTCTCTTTATTCCTTTAACTAAGTTACGTTGTTGGATTAACCCGGTGAATTATGTTTATTATTAATTGATACGAGAATCCAATTTGTTCATGGATCCTCTCATCCTGCGTTTAACCGGTTGTTCTTCCGGTGATTAAAAAAAAAGACGTTTTATTGTCCCGAGGAAATCCCATCCTCTCCCCAAAGATTTTTTCTCTCCTTATTTATGTTTCTATTAATTATTAGTTCTTAAAATCCCTCCCCCATGAATAACGAAAATCGAATTCCATTCGGTATTTGACCCCACGAATTATTTATTTAACAATTCTCTAATCCCCTTATTTGAACCCGAAAGTAACACTCGAATAATGAAACTTCCCTGTTAATTATTTATAAATTAAACGAGAATTAATTTATTCCAAAAAGGTTGACAAACAAAATGAAGAAAGAAATTTAACGTATCCCCAGTAATTTCTTATTAACAATTACGATAAATATAACATTAGAGTACTTAATTTATTTCCACAAAAAAAAACAGACTCGCCTCATTTAATTGTCATCCATCCGTACAAATTAAAGACATTTATTTAATTTTGAGCGAGTAGTGTTGTATTATGGTTTTTTTTTCAATTATTTCGAAAGTTATTTATATATTCTTTATAAGTGTTTTTTTTTGTTTCGTTACGTTGGGTTTAAGCATGTCTGCACTAACTCCAAACGAATGATCCTTATTATTATTTTTTATTATTTGTATTATTAAAAACAGGCCTGGCCTAGCGTACCAAAGTACCTTCATTGTCCCGCCCGACCACCCCCTGCCTATTTCGCCAAAGCTCAATCCCTAAAAGCTTTTTTTTTTATGGGAAATAAAAGACGGGAATTTTTTTTATTGAATGCAAAAAAACAATTCCCTATTTCGAGAGAAAAAAAATCCAAAGACATTGAGCAACGGCTGAAAATCATTCGGAGATGCTTTCTGATCGGCTCGCACGACGTACCAATTACAGAGGCTCGCCTAGTCACCGGAGCTCACACTCCTCTTTTCTCTTTCGATTAAATCGAATTGAATATGTTAATGCAAATTGATGCTTGTGAAATAATTGTCCTGTCACCTTCCTACAAACACCTTCCAAAGAACTGTCTCTATTTTATTTTAACGGCTGAACAGACACATGACAGAACAGAACGAACTGAGATGAGAGTTTATCGTGTATAGAGACTTATTGATGGAGTCATTTTCTCAGTAAATTATGGTTTTTCCGTTATTTTTACGACATTTTTTCTATGAAACTTGCCGGCTGTAGCTAGTGTGTCTATCCTTTCCAGACTCCCCACGATTTTACATCCGTACGGAAGCCCAATGCCAAGAGGGCTATCACGTTTGATGTCTTTGACAGTCCATGTATCAGCCCTCTGATTTTCAAGCCGCAGAAACGACCAAAAGTGAGTGGTTTTTTTTTATTTTCTTGCGTTCTGGGGATCATTTGATTTTATGATTTTACGAACCCTATAGCCTATCTTAAATATTTTTTGGTTGTTTTTTAAAATAAGACCTCATTATCGTGAAGGTAAAATTTATAATTCATCATATCAACTGCCAATCAAATTCCTCACGAATAAAAATTCCCCTATCAACCAAATCTATTGGAAATTAATTGAATTAATTGATTAAATCGGTTCGAAGTGATTTATCCATGTACCTCCCTTGCTAAAAATTCGATTGTTCATAAATTTCGTGTTCGGTAATTATCGATTATTCATCACGGAGTTTATGATAGAATAATTGTATTAGAATATAATACTATATTTTATTGAATAAAGTTACTTATAATCCTTGAATTAATCATTAAATTAAATGTTTCGTTACTAACTGGAAATAACTCGACGTGAAGACTGTAAAATTTGCTGAATTATTTACTAAACATTTTTGTTTGGAACTACTCATCACGGAGGTGTTTTCTCTCCCAATAAGCTCTGCATATGAAGCTGTGCCATTCCATCTCGCATTGAATTAATTTCTGAACAAAATTGTAATGATTCAATTAATCTGTTGCAGCTGCATCTTGAAGCTCAATGGACAATGGTAGCATGTGGTCGTACCCAGGACCAACTGGACATGACTCGTGCTGCTCGCAATTTTCTGAATCTACACGGGTTTCCACCTCTGCGCCCACGTTCCCTGAACTTCTAATGAGTAAGAAAAATAATTGTGGAGTTCATAGACTTCAAGAGCATGACTGAAAGTCCGGTCGCGCGATATTGGAACTAGTCGTAGCACGTTTACGTGTTTAAATTACCGCATTAAATCGTCATCAAAAAAAAAACAAATCTACGAAATAATAAAAATAGTGAAAAAGTGTTTAATAAAACGAACAAATTTGAGAAAAAAAGTTTATTTTGTTAGTGATACCTAAAGAGTAAAGTTCTATTTTACTGAGCTTGTAAGTGCATCACCCAGTATTTTTAAGCCAACAAATGACTCGTTCGCAAAATAATATTTGGGAGCATTCGTTGGAGAGAACAGAAGCCATATTATATACAAAAATTTATATCATTCTTCTCTTTTTTCTATTTTTTGATCGATGAATGAGAGTAAATATGTGTCATGGAGAGTGGAATAGGAAATAACTATAGCCGATTTATTTGATAGAATATTATATTATAATATAAAACACTATTTGCGGCCGTTACGTACAAAGAGCCTTTGTAATTGGTATTTAACTTACAGTTTTCAACATAATAAAGAATCGCACAAAAAATGAGACTTCTAGATTTTTAAACCTACTTGTTCTCACAGTGGCTGAAGAAAACGGAGTAATATTCAGATTGAAAAATTATGTATATTGTAACTTTGATCAATTTGATTGCATGGCGTAATTCTTGGAAAGAATTCTCTCCTTTTTCCTGCGCAAATAACTTATTCAATTTTCAATTTTAATTTCTACGGTTGGCAATTATAATGAAGAAAGTTTAATTATGCCCAATGAATTTTCTAATAATTCCTGGATAATTATTAACTAATTTTAAATTAATGTGTAATTTATGGAGTGATAAAAGAGATGAAGTCATAAAATCGATAATTGGTGGACCACCAGTCGGGAATTCAAAGATTGAATTGATTCATTAGTCAAGAAATTAGAATTCACATGAAATTGTTCAGTAAATATTTGGCCGAAATTATTTAATAAATATCTCAAGAATGAATAAGTCTAGACAGAGAGGAGGGAAGTTATTTTGTAAAAGTTAATTTCTTCATAATTTTGAGACTCATCTCTTTCTCCCCTCAAAACACAACATTCCCCAAAAATTACGTTCAACAATTAACAAAAATTCGCATACAAATGTTTTTTCTCCTGAAGGGGAAGAATACCCAAGACTAGTAGGATGCTGTTGATATATTAAATCTCATGTTTTTTTTTCTTTTAATCAAGAAAAAAAAGTGTCTTATGCCAAAAAAACGGACAATCACACGATAACCTTCACGTTTCTCACTTTTACCCTACGGAAAATTCAACTATCCACACAGATATTTTCTCCTTCATTATTTCACTTCCTACTACATTTATGTCATAACATTAATATAAATTTGTTTCCTAATGTTGCGGCTGTGATGGCAAATCTCGACATTATATTTCGTGAAGACAAAAGAAATGCAAATGAAATGCTGAATTAATTCCTACTAAATCATTTGGAAATCAAGTTTTACATAGCGAACGAGTTTTGGAAAATTATTGCAACAACACACTCTAGCAAATTTCCAATTATATATAGACTAGTTGCACATAAAGATGTGATTGATTGAGGTTGGAGGGGGGGGTCGTCGATTAGAAAAATATACCGTCCCTCAGGATGGCGAAAGAAAGTGTCTTTTCATCGTATTTTCGGGATTCTTATCTTAATTTAGCGTAGACTTGTGAAACGCTCTGAATTAAATTATTTCGATCATCTTTCAATAAAAAGGAGACTTCACTGGTTTATTCCTGGAATATTACAAGACTGGTAGAGCTGTCGAGAAATTTCAACGACTCGTCTGTTATCTATTATGCAATTATTTGGATACTCATTCGATTTATAAAACGACGACAATAATACTTTTTATTAGGATTTTCCTGAGCAGCAAAAATCAAAACGATAATTTTATAGAAATCTCAATCAAACAAGATTTTCGGATGAATTAAGGAATTGAGAAGAACGTATCAGGAGGATTTGTTTCTCAGTCATTCATTACCAAGATTTCCGAATAATGAAGTAGTTTCATGGCTTCGCAATCGAATTAAAATGCTTTGATTGATTTTATCTTTATTATTACTTTGTCTCGCTTGGAATGCCGTAAAAACTATCACTACACGAGAAATTCAACTATTTGAGTCGAACAACAATCAAAAAAATATTTTAAAACAATTATTTTCATTTGCGACCGCTCAATGGTAATATTTCTATAAAATACAGAGGGAAAAATCAACAAAGACACTGTCTACAGGTAGATGTTGTAATTATTATGCGTCTCATCACATATTCCATGATTATGCGCCATTCAACATCTTCCATAGCAGAAAAATGAATTAAAAAATTTGCTAAAAGTCAAACTCAGATAACGAGCACTTCCCCAGTTTATCGCTTTATCTATTTTTAATTTTCTTTTTAATTCAGTACCAAGCTCTCAATAATTGCCACGACTTTCGGATTGCGAGGGGATCAAAATGTTGCGTAAATCTATTGAGATCCGTCCTCTGGGGATGGTTCTTGATCCCCAGCTCCACTGCCACCTGCAGCTCCGTCCGGTGCATCTGGATCTACATAAGGAGCCATTTTTTCGCGTAAAATTATCGATGAAGAAAATCAAGTGAATAAATTATTAAATTAAATTAATCAAGAGTAAAAAATCGTTAATTTAATTACCAGGACATGGGGAGCCTTTGATCCTACAGGTGTTGTAGCTGCCACAGTTGAGACATTTGAGTCCAACAACATGAAATTTAACAGTAGATTCCTGAAAATAATTATTGATATTACAAATTCTCAATGAAATGATAGACGGAGGGGCTTGAAATTACTTCGTGGCAATCCTTGCACAAAATGTCAGCTTTATAATCCTTGTACTCTGGTGGCATTGGTGTAAGATTGACTTCATCATCCAGAAATCTCCATAAAGCAGTCATATCTAGTAATGATACTTGACAAGTGGGACAGGCATAATGTCCGGAATGTAACAGCTCTTCGAAACAGGTACGATGAAGCAAATGCCCGCAGTCCGGAATGTGACAGGGTATGCGACTCGTGTGAATGTCCTCTAGACACACTGGGCAATTGGCATGGGATACGTTTTCCACGCACTGTAAAAAAACATATAATCAATCAAATTGTCCATTTGTCTGGGTAATTGGTTGAATCAAGTCGAGCAGATTTATGGGGCTTGTGATATTATCCTTTCACCTGTGTCAACGAAAAAAAATTGTTAGTTTTTTGACATTCCTCACATGAAGTAGGTGAAACACATCTGGAAATTTCCCCAGCTTTCCAATACTCATCAATTACAAATAATCTACTCGTCATTTCCACCTTGAATTACCATAAACTACAACTAGTTCCCTCTGTTCTAAATTATTCTTCTCTATTATTATTCGATCCATTGATGCATCAGAATATTCAGATAATTTTTATTCAACCAATTACAGAATTGATCATTCACGAGAAATTTTTTACTGTTGTATTTACTATTTCAAATAGTTATATAAATTCGTTTATAAATAAGTTTGAGATGAGTTGTCGATTCAGAGCATAAAATTATTGTCAACAGTCCAATTTTTTAAATTTCATTTAGAAGAAAACTTTTGTTATTCTTCATAGGCTACGAAAGAATTTTTCGAGAAAAAACTTTGAAAGGATCTGCACTCCCATTCCAAACACGTAGCAAAAACCTGAATGAATAATTAAATTACAACGTAATCGATTGTACTCACCTTGTGACCATTTTGTAGCTGAACTGGCAGGCACATGTTGCACTTGGCGCAATGAAAAAATCTGTCCTTACCCCCGACCCTACAAATTCCACATCCGTCGCAGTGATACTGATTCTTATCCTCGTCATCGAATAAATTACACTCTAGGCAAGTGTATTTGCCAAATCGACAATGGCAATTTTGACAAGTGGCTTGGACAGGCTGACGAGTGTCGCAGAGTACACAAATTAGCTCGGTTACTTCTTTACGATTCACAGTATGAGTCTCCAGCTCATCATGACAGAATCTGCACGTGTATACCTTGTTACAACAAGGTGTCTGTGAACAAGTTCATTAATCATCAATTCAAATGGTTCAATGTTATGCCAGTCGTTTGGATTGCTAATCAGTGATGAATCACATTCATTGCAATTTTTCCATTGAAATTATCAAGTACAATTGATAGTTTTTCTGTGAACATACTAAATGTGCCTGATCATGATTTTGCTTTCTGTTTAATTCAGCATTCGTGTTTCAAATCACAAATTTTCCAAGGAAAAAAATTCAGCGTTTTTACTGCTCACGAAATTAATACAGGCCTGAGGATAAATAGTCCGGGATAATGACTCAAAGTGAAATAGTTCTTAATAATCTTGAGACATTTCAGCTGCGCCAATTTCTCACCGTAAAAATTGTGGATATTATTCTCAGAGTCATTCATCATCGAGATAATTACACAGATAACGAGAGATTACATGAACGAAGAGTTCTGTCTAACGAAAAATGTTTTGATCTCGTACTATCTAGAGGATTACCGATTTTGGAAAGAAATGTAAGCAGTATCTTTCCAAAGCTGATAAAATTTCCGGCAATAAATAATTTCCAGAATTACTGCTGATCGATTGGAGAAAAATCAAATTAATGTGACGATAAAAGATTTTTATTATTTTAAAAGAATTTTATTCTAAATTCTTCATAAAACCGTTCACCCATAAGAATACAAAAACTCATGAATAGATTAATTCCTTTTGTAATGTTATATTCTATTCTAAACTATTTTATTGCATTCCACTTCTCCACGACTGAACGAGGACTAGACATAAAAAACATTCGACAAAGAGCAATAAAATAGAATAAGATCCAAACAACAAATGATGAATGACAGATTAAAATGATAAAAGCCATCTTGACAAATCCTTCAACTTGACCATCAACTTCATGTCACGTTTTCTCGTTGATACACAAACACCTCTCGAATCGATCGCTCTCGCCATTGGCTAGCCCCGAGGGAGGGGTAAGACAACAACAACAGACCGAATAAAACTCACCACAAATTTGGATTTTCTCTTGTAATGCGTACACCCATAATGCTCCTCAGTGCCCTCAGCCTCGTCATCACTCTTCTTGAGTTCACCCTGGTCGTCAATATCGACGACACTGGCTGCCTGTTCCTCACCCTTCTCCATCATCCAATTCTCACCGATCAAATACACCTCACCTCCAATAATATTTATCAATGAAAATAAATAAACAAAATACACAGTCACAAATGTAAAAAATCCAAATGGCAATATCCCGTCGATTGTTCTAATGCCTCCGTAAACACTGTCAATTTGTTCAGTTAATTGACACAATCTTCATGTTCCTTTTCTCACGACGAAGACAAAAAAAATCACCAGCTGAACGAAACCTAGGTTATGCACAAGTTTAATCTTCACTTTGATTATTCTTTATTTTTTCTCATAAACTCATTGATTTATTTATACTCTGGGATTGAGTTTTGGGGGTGAGATGATTGATTGAATTTTTTTATTGGAGTTCGTGTGATTGGACTGGGGACGAGGGTATCTCGTCGTCTGGGCGACAGTGTGAACGATTAAATGATGTCATTTTATCGACTCGTGGATTTTGTAGACACAGGGATTGCACACCTGGAGATCAATCTGGGGGGCATTTCAAGTGGTACGAGGGATGGTTTATCACTTGGGGGTGTTTGGAATGTTTTCAATTGGGAATGCTAGGGTGAATAAAATAACCCGCTCTCTGGGTCGTGTGACACACGTCTTTTACTTCAACGACGCTAACGACACTGTTTCACGAGGCCACACACATCCAGGAGGGAATACGTCGTTTCACTTTGCACGATGGATATGAACTGCCATGGACGACGGATATTACTCAATTCCAGACGAGACATTGCGTACTTCCGATTGCGAGGCAAAAATTTGAATGGGGAAGAAATCATTCCGGGATGTCATACTGCTCGTACATCATTTTGACGATTTTTTCAATTTTTGGTTGCATTGACGTGAAAAAATATAACGATTTTTGATTTTTTTGAAAAATATCATATTTTTCGATTTCTATTCAGTTATTAGTATTTATTGCTATTATCAAAGTAATAATATTTCAACTTCTTAATTAAATAAAATTTTTAGTTCAATAAAAGGTTTTACCTTTCATTTTAACAATATTGGTTCATCAGTGCAGATTTATTAAATAAGATTTATTACTATAAAATCTTGTCTGTTTAATTTATTATATTTATCAAATCTTATCTCGAACGTTACCTATTTTTTTAGATAATCTTCAACATGTTACAATTCCCAAAAATTATGAACGTAAAATAAAAAAACGTCGGAAAAACACTGAGCATTCTTAGTGAACATCCGTCACCAATACAAAAAAAAATTTGAATGGAAAAAACTCATGAAGTATCGAATTTCTGGAATATAAAGATGCGATAGAATAATAGAAATAACGTCTCAGAGATAATAATCTCATCAAATCGAATTCCTGAGTCTGTTTATATTGCTGAGCCACTCTTCTTAGAAATAAAAAAAATATTGAAAAATCAAATTAAATTTTATCAACTTTCGCTTCAGTTGACTCAGTCTGAATAATGTGTTAATATGAAAGTATTTTAATTATGTAAGCACTCAAATAAAAATAATGTGATTTTTTGGAGAATTTTTAGAAATGCGTGACAGTGCAGGTCAAGTATCTCAAATTGATACGAGACAGGTGGGGCAGGTATTGTGCCCAGAATTGGTCAGCTGGTTATAGCACGTTGTGTGTATCAAATGGCCGCAGTTGGGAATATGGCAGGCAATGCGACTCGTGTGAAGATCCTCCAGACACACTGGACAATTGTCCCGAGACACATTTTCAACGCACTATACAAAAATGAATAAATAAATAAATTCAACAAGTCAATTATATGACTTAGAATATAAAAAAAAATATCTCAATTAATTCTTCGCCACTCCGTCGTTTTTATTTTGAGAGTGACACAATATGAATAATGAACAATAATAAAATAATAATACTGTAATTTGTTAATAGTTAAAATTAACAAATTCAATTTAATCTCATAAAACATCAAAGACATTCACTGGAATGAATAAAATTGCACGATTAAATTTATATCTCATCATTCCTATCGTGCATGCAAAAGTTTCGCTGAAATAATGATTTTTTGCGCGCAATTTAATGAGCTGATATAAAGAGAAAATTTGGAAGAGGTTTGATCGAAATAAAACGAAACGATTCTTACCTTGTGGTTATCAATTCTCTGAACTGGGAGACAAATATTGCACGTAGCGCAGTGAAAAAAATTGTAGTCGCCCCCGACCCTGCAAATTCCACATGCATCGCAGTGGAATTGTCCCTTATCCTCGTCATCAAACAGATTACACTTCAGACAAGAATATCTTCCAAATCGCTGGCCACAATATTTGCAAGTGATCCCAACTGGTTGGCGGATACGACAGGATATGCATACCAATTCGGTGATTGCTTTACGATTAAGAGTATGTGTCTCTTCCTCATCATGACAGAATCGGCAAGTGTACACTTTATTGCAACACGGAGTCTACAACAAAATCATTATTAATATCTCATAAAAATCCATTGAAATAAATAAATAAGACTCACTACAAGTTGCGATTTTCTTCTGTAGTGCGAGCATCCAGGTTGCGGTCCGTACGCCATTCTGCGATAGTCAAGATAAAATAAAGGATTTTTATATTATTTATAGGAAAAAATTCGTAGTCGAAATGCACTGATACAGACCTACTAACTGTAGGTGATAATCTTTAGGCGATCGTTTTTTTTTAATATTATTTCGATCAACGATGCTTCTTTTTTTCTTCGGGTGGACAACGAGGATTTTCAGAAATATGAAGTCGAGGTTATGACAACTTTCACGCAATTTTCATTTTTGTTTAATGTGAAAAATAATAAATTTAATTCAATTTGTTTGTGTATTGAGAGACGATTGAGGAATTTTATGTATTGAATTTGAAGTCGAAGGTTTTATAAAGTTGGTGTCTTCTGCTGAAGTGAAGCCGGTGAAATTATTGCAACTCAGTATTGCAAGTTCGCTCCTTCGGCGATTATGAGAGAAGGGGAAGAACCTGATTGTGTGGATTTATCAAATTCATTATATTTCTATGGAAGGCGTGGAATGGAAAACAGATAGAGGGGAATGTGAACGATATAAATAAAAAATGTTCCAGATTTTTATAACAACACCTCAGCCTTTTCTCTCGATTTTTCGCAAAGAGTACAATGAATAATTTGTTTTTATGTACCGTAGAAAATTTTGTGGAACTAGTGAGAAAAATTGAGTTTTTATGCATGAAACGTGGGAGTTTTAATAACTCATTGGCTTTTATCTTATCGCATCGGTTTTTTTTTCAGTATTTTTGTGACAGCCCATTTCCAATTGCGTTTTTAATTTCGTAGTCGTTAAATGGGATACGTAATTAAAGTGGAAACGATCGATCGAGTTTTGCCACCCGATCATTGCGAATGGTGTGAGATAACAGTAATTCAAGGAATTGTTCAGACATAAACTGAATAATAATTTATGTCTGCCCTGGAAATTGCCAAAATTATATTTTTTGCGTAATTTTAATCAGTTTTTCAGTACTATAATTAATATATTTACGTGAATATGAGACTTAAATTGAAAAGGCACCGAAATTGTTTTGAAAATTGCTGAACAGTCATAAAAACTAT